AATAAAAATAAAATAATTCAAAAATAATATTTCCATGATCTCATAAAAAATTAGAAAAAATTCCAAAAATAAAACAAAAATAATCCAAAAATATTATAACACTCATAATAAAAAAAAATTCAAAAAATTACAAAAATTAAATTAAAAAAATATGAAAATATTCTTAGGCTGTCGAAAAAAAATCAGAAAAAATTCGAAAAATAATATAAAAATAATCCGAAAATATTTCCACACTCATGATTAAAAAATCCGAAAAAATTCCAAAAATTAAATTTAAGAAAGCTAAAAATATTCCCACACTCTCTAAAAAAATCAGAAAAATTTTCAAAAACAAAAATAAAATAATCCAAAAATATTCCCACGCTGTTGGAAAAAATCAGAAAAAATTCGAAAATATAATAAAACTATTCTAAAAATATTTCCATGCTCGGAGAAAAAATCAGAAAAATTCCAAAAATTAAATAAAGAAAATCCAAATAAAATCTCACACTCCTAAAAAAAATATTTTTAATTCCAAAAATAAAATTAAAAAATTTGAAAATTCCCACACTCATGAGAAAAAAATACAAAAAATTCCAAAAATTAAATAATAATTCAAAAATATTCCCATGCTCTCAGAAAAAATCAGAAAAAATTCCAAAAATAAAATAAAATAATAAAAAAATATTCCCACACTCATGAGAAAAAATACAAAAAAATTCCAACAATTAAATAAAAAGAATTTGAAATATTCCCAAGCTCTCGAAAAAAATAAGAAAAAATTAACTCAAACTTTATACGTAGCATAAGGATAAGTACGTGTATATGTATCAGAAAATATTACAAAAACTGAGAATTCTCTACTTTTTAATTTTGGCGAAATTTAGCTAACGCCCCTGTACTATAGTACAGGGACTTTAACCCAATTTTTGAACAACTTTAAAAATTTATTAAAAATCCAAATTTAATCGGAATCAGCTCAAACTTTCTACTCAGCACAAGAAAATGTATATGTATCACTAAATTCCATATACACGATTAAAATCAGACTTTAACTAAAACACTTCTCTCTCTCTCTCTTACCTGAGCAATGGCCCACTTCACCAAGGGCCCACAAGCTTTACTAGCGTGATATAAAGTTCTCCTTCATTATAATCTGTCTGATACTCTTCCAGTCAGTGTAAGGTTCTCCCATTAGCATGCAGATGCTTTCCAGTGCCATCTTGATGACCTGATGGGGTTGTTTAAAGCCCTCACTTCAACCAGGTAGGACTTCTTAATTTCCTTCACAACTGCAATTAATTATTTAATTACATTATTAAATTACAATGATTTGTAATTATCATCAACACAAACGTGTGCAAATGATGCAGTTACACAGCATGATTACAATAGCCAGTTATAACATTGTACAAACAAACATCTACCACTCCCCAAACTAGAGCCATTCAAACAATAAAACCACACAGTATCATTACAACAGTACCATACTGCCAATAAATACCGTATAGTGCTTTATTTTGGTGATTTGGCTATAAAAATTACATGTATAATTGGCAGTTTTTAATTTGGCAATTTTGTGTACACGTGCATTACTGAGCATACACTGTACTCATTAATGATGGGCCATTTTAACATTGACGATTCTGCTAGCAAACTGCCTAGTGCCTATTGCCAATAAAACGCGAAATTAAAGTGCTATATGGTATACTGCAATACATAAATGTATCCCTCCCAAATAATACAGTATTCAATGCCCACTACAGCATACTGTACCTGTGAGACAGTGGTTTCCTTCCCCAGTCAGTCGAACTGCAAGGAATACTGGTACAAGAAATGAACCTAAGAATAAAAGAAGGAAAAATAGAAATAGGAATGAGCAATTACACTATAAAAAACAAGCAAACTAAGATAATAATACATTAATTTTTTGGCATTTTGCAATCAAATTTTTCAATAGTAAAATGTTTAGTAATACATGCGTGGACAAATTTGCCAATTAAAAGCTGGCCTAATGTATTGATCAAGCAAAACCATCAAAATAAAGTACCGCTAAATCACACGACAGTCACATCACTCACATGATTTCAATTACCTGATTGAGTGACTCCAGAGTGAAGTACATGGCAGAGCAGGAGGTGGAGAGAGGCAGGTATTGCTGGGAGACTCTGTCAACTTCAGCCATTACAGTATCAGTCTCCTCCATCTTCCTCTGAACTTCTGCAGCCTCTTCCTTAAGAGTCTCAAGCTCAGTAATGATTCTAAAAATAGACACAACAAAAATTACATCATGTAATAATTGTTACTATATTTAGATGTGTTGTTACTATTAGAATTGTGGGTACCTGTTGTTGTCTAGGATACGACCCTTGACCTCGTTCAATGCAGTGAGGAGACTCTTCTCAAGGTGACGCAAACAAAGGAAGAACTCACCTAATGAATAATTAATGAATTAAATTATTAATAAAAGATAATTAATGTATCTTTAATTATTAAAATACTTCACCTTTTTCTCAACAGTTGATAAATCATTCTTAATAACACTAGCATCAGATATAACCATTGCATATTCTTCTTTATATCTAAGTAAAGTAAAAAAATATGTTTCACTTTTAATGTATTTTGTTTTGTACTTTACTTTGCTATAGAGGCTTCAAGTTCACCAGCAACATCTCATCAACATCAAGTTTATCTGAGATACAGTAGCTCCCTAAAGAACTGATCCATTAAAGACAGCTGCATATTATGATACTGCATACCTTGTCAATCACTAGTGTTTTAAATGGATCCCATTCTTCAGATTCACCAACTGGCTCTTGTGTCACTGCCCAATAAATCAATCAAAGTAAGAACAACCAGCACACCAATAATACTAAATAACAAACAAACAAACAAGAGACTAACTTATAATTATAGACAATCATTACAGTACATGACCAATACTAATGCAATATTGTATAGCGGAAAATTTTCATTGCCCAAAATATTACAAATCATTTCGAAAAAACAACTTTGCCTCTTTAATTTTTGCAGATTTCTACTTTTCAACCTTTTTGAACCGTATTGAATCAATTTTCGCAGATTTTATTGTCTATGAATTTCGAAAAAAAGCAAAATTCACGCAACTCTTGGGCCACAAAATTCTTTGCTATACTACCGGTAATTGATATAAATGATATCATTGATATTTGCCGTATTATTTTTAATAGTTTATCTATAGTCCGTCTCTTCTCCACTTTATTTCTTTTCTGACAACATGGCCCACACTGGCACTCACTCCCTCTGTCATCTCCTAAAAAATAACATTAATATTCTAATTAAAGCCCACAATACAGTATTAATTCAATTCACTTTTCTTGCTCTTAGGCCAAAGGAAGTTATAACTAGTAGGAATATCCCATACAGAAGGACTATGAAATATGGAAAGGTACCAGTTCCCTTTTCAAACTCTATCTGAGCCATCAAGAGTCAATGGGTGTGTCAATAGTGAATGTCTGAATGACACTTAGGACACGTGTGTACACGTGGTTAGGGTAGACGCGCCCCTATATGATTATTGTAGACACGCCCCTATATGATTATTGTTAGACACGCCCTATCGCTTTTAGAAAGAAGCACTGCTGATCAAGCTACTGCTACTGCTGCTGCTGCTCCTGCTAGGCTAACTGTTTTGTTTTCTCACTTTTCAATAAACGTCTTAATACTGCACTGAATATGGCTACTGAGAAAACTCCAGTAAGTATATGTAGTATCAGTAGAGGATATGATTAATGTATTGTAGAGTATATTGTGTGTTAGTGAAGATAAATGTGTACTGTTGATGAGTGTTTGATCTGGAGCGGGATACCCTCAGTATACAGTCTCTCCTTTATATACAATATAATATACACTGGTAGTGGAGGGGCCTTATGGCTGAGACTAACAATGTTATTATCATTTGTGGGGAAGGTATAATAAGGTCAGGGGGATACAGGGAAAGGGAGAAGACCCACCTTTACTGTATAAGTTACCCTAAACATTTGTACATGGTGTGGCATGTAGCTATCATTGTTTCATGTAGAGTTAATATTTCCTCTTGTACCTTATGATAGCATACAGTGTGTTACCAGAGCTAGTGTTACTGTATATCAGGCAGAGTTTCATGTAGTTCTTTTCATTCTCATTCCTTCTGGAATGAATATTCTCCAAATGGAAAAAGTCATTCCTCAATGTTACGTGTACAAAATGACAGCTTAAAACTTAAATTAAACAAGACTAATCCAAAATAAAACCAATGAAATATCCCAGTGTAGAGTATTGTGTGTGGTAATAATAATTCATTGATATTATAATGATATTCATATATTCCTTAGAGGGAAGGGTGCAGTCACTGAACAGTGTTCATAATTTCAATTACTGTATAGCAGGAAATTGT